GAGGCGCGTGAGGCCTATTTACATAATTATGCCCCTGTTTCGTGGAGAGACATTGAGAAACACTGTGCTGACCTCTACTGACCTTTCATGAACCAGAATACTAAACAGCCCTGGGACAGAAGGAGTGAGGGGAGGGGGGCGGGGGGCTTGTAATTACTAAGAGCTGTGGTATTCATTTCTCTTCGTTATTTCTGTACACAGCACAACAGTGCGCTGGATTCTTTTGTAGCCGGGCTGAGGGAGATAGGCTGACAGGCTGAATAGGCTGCCTTCAGTGTAATTATCTACCAGCCGTGCGTCTTCCAGGCCGGGAATAAACATTTCTCTTTGTTGTTCTTAATTGGAGGATTTGTTTCACAGCAAGATGCACTGGCGCTATATAAAAGTGCTCCGAACGTAATCGAGATTTAATGTAAGCGCCCCCTCTTGGTTCATCCAGATTCACTGCGGATGGCTTTTCATTCGCCCAGACGGAGCATCCCGGGTGAATAGAGCTGGGGACGCGGCGGTCAGGGCCATTGTGCACCGCCCCCGTGTGGAAGGGATCTTGGGGCTTTTGTGTGCCGTGGGTGTGGAGTCAGCTGTCCCACACAAAAGCCTGTTTTGGTGCGGGGCAGAAAAGTGTAGCTTTTTTTTCCCCCCCTTGGGGGAGGGCTGTCGCGTCGCGATTCTCCTCAGTTGAGGTGGCGGTTAGTGAACACGGGTGCGTGGGACACTGGGGGCGGAATCCCCAGGGAGCCTCAGTATATTGGGTGGGAAATGTTTATGTTTTAAATATTGCTGTAAAAGTTTTAGACATTCATGTTTTAAAATTATTATTATTTAGTATTGTTTATTATCATGTTATACTTGGTATTTTTTAAAAGCACATTATCACAGCACAGTAATTCCTGAGGGGCTTGGAAAATGCTTTAGTGTGAGGATCTGCGTTTCCTTTTAGAGACGCGTAAAGCGGCTTTTTCAAACACAGTAACTAGTGGCGATGCAGCCCTGTGATTTTGCTCCATTTCCCTCCATAATCGGTTAATAATTATTGTAATCTATCGTAATGTAATGAGCGGCTGAGTGATCGGTGGCAAATGAATGTGCAGTTTCTAAGGCCTTAATGTGACTCTAATGTATGTTGCCCATCATGGGGCGTGTGCCAACCCCGCGCCCCGCCAGAACCTCCCCAACGTGGGCCTCTTCATGCCTCCCTGGCGTGTGCTGGCTCTGCCCTCGGCCCCGCCCCCCCCCCCGCATCGCCCCGTGCTGCACAATGCGCCGCGTTTGTCCTCGGCCACCCGTTCACCGCCCGCTTAACGTCTCATCCATGACAGCATCCAGGCGCTGGCTGGGAGTGTATTGGGATGCAGAGTACCCTTGGGCCAAGTTCGATTGTAAGACTCTTGCCTGTTTTTTTTCAACTTGGCATGTGCCCTCTCCTCACTCCCACAGCACTACACCCTACCCCACACGTACCGTTAAATCCCTGCATGTGTTCCCTGCCACCTGCCCCGCCCATCAAGTCTGGCCCCGCCCCTCACTGCCCCTCTCCCACTGTTGTGAAGCCCCAAGAATCAGGCATGAGTTAAGTAATGTACTTAAACGCATTCAGCTGTTTGTGGAATTTTTCCTAGTTTTATTTGGTTAAGGACTGCAGTTACTGTTTTGTTGAATTTGTGTTGTTGGGTTTCCCTTATCTTGTGCAATTATATTTTGCATTTTTCATGAAAATCAGACGAGTTGGCGGTCAGGTTCAGAAACTGACGCGCCATAGAAAGGAGCTCAGTGACCATCATCGTTGATCCTCCCGATCACTGTGGTCTGTCCACTTGGGCGTCACCCCAACTGGGCCGCCAATCCTGGCCGTTTCCCCATGGAGGGACACGTACCCCCCTCTGTCCGTCTGCGGTGGCAGGGGGATGATAGAATTACCCAGATTGCCGTGTGTCTCGTAATGGAAGCTGTGGAGAGGTAGGGGCTCTGTGGAATGATTTTAATCAGGCCTGCGCTGTGAGTTCCATCTGGGGCAGCGCAACGCCAGTGACCGAACCCAGCATCAGCTTTCCGCGTGAAACCAGAGCCACCAGCACCGGCTCATTTACACTCCGGTGTCGCGTTTAACTTCACTGAGGTTGTCCGGCACCATGTGCTAATTGCCAGGACACGACGCAGCTGGATGGAACCATCACTGGTGTGGGACACATCTGAGGCCACTAAGAGCTTGTCGGAATAGTAATAGGATTATGTTTTTTCTTTCCTGTTTTGGATATCCATTAACCTTTGGTTGCCAAATGACGCCATGTTGACCTGCAACCATATTGCCAGCAGAGGTCTGTACGGCCGCGGCTTGACATGCGGGCCAATCCAGCGCTGAGATGGGCGATAAAGCCCCGCCTCCCCACGTGGAGGTACCTAGTGGAACGAGGCGATTAGCGCAGTTTTTCTCAGAGGGAGCCCTGCCAGAGCCGACAGCATCCGATCCCTCATTAAGGATTACTGACCATCTGTGACACGCACTCGCACATGTACCGGACAGTGAGTCACCTGACCACTTCCGGATCTCTGCACGGGCCTCCTGCCTCTCCCACACTGACTGGTCCACATACCAGTACCAGAAAGCCTTGTTTTTTTATGGAATTCATTTCTCTAGTTGACAATATGCTGTATCAGAATGACCTCCAGGGTGTCACTCTCATCATCATCTCTTTGAAATCTTTTCTGAAAACAATTCAGTCTTGTTTATTATTATTTATTTTTTTACAGCAATAACCTCCTGCATGTCACTGGTTTCCTGTAAATCTCCCTTTAAATGTCTGTTTCTCAGAGATCGCTGCATCACCCAGCATTTATTTGCCATTGTTTTCCTGCTCTACATGTCATAAGTTATAGAAATAACTTTTTTTTTTTTTCCCTTCCTGTGAATTGATTGGTTTTGTGGAGTCAGCTGACCATCACCGTCACTGCCTGATTGCCCCTTCACTGTGTCACGCATCCCCCACCCCGACCATCCTGCGTCTTACATGATGATCTGTTGTGTTTCTTTCCTTTTAGATTAAAAATATGTAAATGGTCTGATTACGGTAATTGATGAAGGTAAGCCCCCCCGTCCGGATGCTTGTGTGGCTCCTGAGGCCAGTCCTCTGCTACCTTAATCATCCTTTCGCCCTCCTCTTTCTTTTTCTACCCCACATCACCCCCCCCCCCCCCCCCGAAACTAACAAGCCTTATTTACTGCCTGCTTTCAAGAATGTACTACTTTGTGGGTTTAGCAAGGCAGATAATTGAAAGTGAAGCTCTTGTCGAAACAAGTATGGCGACAATTAACACCTAAGTAGAAGCATGAGCAGTGCTGGTGCGCTAATGGTCTTCACCGCATGTCTCGACTTTAGCTGAAAAGCGTTCTTTTTTTTCTTTTTTCTTTTTTTTTTTATCCGTTACTCCCCTCCATCCAACCCCCCGCCCCCCCCTCGGCCTGCCTGTTAGCCTTCGGCAGAATCTGACACTAACACCTGCCATACTGGAAAATGTCTTTGTCATTCGGCCTTTTGTTTGAACTGCTGTCGGGAGCCAATGGGAATAAAGTCTATTTACTTTCTTCCCTCTCTGGAGCGCAGGGCACAGCAGTCGGGAAACGGCAGAGATAAGGCGCGGCGGCACGTGCCGTTCTGGGCCGCCCCGGCCGGCTCCGCATAATCAGCGTTTTTGGGATGGGGGGACAGCTGGGGGGGAGGGAGGCTAGACAAAAGGAGAGAAAGCTGTGAGGCAGGGACCTGGAGGAGCGTGGGTGGGGCCCTCCGTCCGCACGCCAGGTGTGACCAACCCTGGGTAGCGGGGGGGGGGGGGGGGCGATAAAGGGGAGTTAGGCAGTGAGTGCAGAGGGCAGATTGGTGGGCTCTCGTCGACCCTGTAAATGTCGACCCAAACGGTCGATCTTACTCACTGCATGGAAGCAAGAACAAGCAAGGAAAATGTGCAACAAACGAACAAGAACATCCTTCAGTGTTTCTCATGGACTGTGACTTTCCCTGTTGTTAAGGGCAACAGTTGAATGGTTCAGTCCTTTTCCCTTTAACCCGACGGCTTATAAATGATGCCATTTTCATGGGCCCCTTTTATATCTGATCTCTGAATATATCTGCTGAAAAATGGTTTGAAATGAAGACTCTTAGCTTTCAGAAAAGCTTGAAGTGCTTTTCACTGTTCCTCCCCAATGCGATCCCCCCCCCACCCCCATTACAATTTAAATGTGCATATATGCAGTTATTTATCCCCAGTCTGGATAAATTGCCGTTTGGTCACCTCCCCGTTGACCTTGATCGCTAGGCCATATGGCACCAAACCGAAGCTGGGCATTTAGCGGAGCCTGCATAGCTAATAAGCAGAGACCCCTCCCCACGCTGAAGGCACTGGTCCATGCCACTGTCATTCAGAAGAAGCTCCTCCTCCTGGTTAATGAGGGCTGCTAGTTCAGGGAAGCAGAATATAAACTCTTTTGAAAGATATTTTCTATTTCTGCTGCTTTATTGTTTTCTTTGAGTGAGGGTCAGTTTTGGCACGAGCTCATGGGAACCAAAATCAGCCAGTGTGTGTAATACTGCAATTCGGGTGCCGGAGACGGTTCTTGTGCTGTCCTGCGATCTGCATGCTGCCTTATGGGGGTTTGCTGTCTCTTGGGGGGGGGGGGCTGGCTCTGGGTTGCATGGATCTGCTGCTGGGGTGCTGAGGGGTGGGGTGGTGGCGGTTAGGCTTAGCATCTGAGCTAGGGCGGTGTTATAAGGGACCCCTCCCCCTGGGAGGGCTGAGAGGCTTGCTGCATGGGGAAGGTGTGTCGGTGGATGGGCTCTGGGGGGGTTTCCGCTGATGAGCCGTGGAATTCCAGAGGGACGACCTGCAGAAGGCCTGCGGCTCAGCTCCCGTCCGAAGCCGGCTGCCATTTTCAAAGAAAAAGAGGGAAAAAAAACAGCCCACCGTCACAGCCACAGTTGAAGGGATCCATCCCTTGCCCCCTCCTCCCCCCACCCTCAAGTGGAAGTCAGCAATGCTTGTGTCCACTCCGCTGAGTGTGTTACTCTGACCATCTGCTGTTCCTTTTAGCTGCAGGAACTTGAGACGCTTGGGGGTTGGTGGGGGGGGGATAGGAAGGAGAAGAAGGCAGCCAGATGCTGTAGTGACAAAGAAGAGAGCTTGTTAAGATGGCTGGGAGGGGCTGGGACCCAACTTGGCAATGAGCCCCCCCCCCCGCACACACTTATCACAGCTTGCTGTCTGTAATCTTCAGCGATGTTTGACAAAACGTGCACTTGACCTGCATCATGTCGTCAGAGTTTATGAATCAGGGCCTCTTATTTTCCTTTTCGCCTTGGGCCTAATTGCAGCACAAGCAGATTGAGTTTGAATGAGATGTTTTTCCTTGGCACGGGCCCCGCTCCTCTATTCCTCCTCCGTACCTCCTCCCCGCTCCTCTATTCCTCCACTGTACCTCCTTCCTGCTCCTTAAATGCCTGCACAGGTATGTCGCAGGATGCGATAGAGGGCAGGTCTGCCCGCGATGTTCTGCCGCATGTTTAAATTGGTTCAGAGAGGGCCAAAGGTTACACTGTGCCTCCGGACATTCAGTACAGGATGGCGATCAGACTGCAGGGTCACATCACCTGTTCTGTCCCAGTAACAGGAGTCAGATTCAGATTTCAGGGTCTGATAAGGTTATTGGAGCTTGTACCTGAATAACAGGGTGAAATATATCATGCGGAGGGGGGGGTGGGGACAGACCACTGTGATCATGGCATCCCTCCACACACATCCCGTTCGGGCTGACAACACGTCTCTCCCCATCTCCAGGGTCCCTCAGTGGTAGCACCAGTGCCGAGCTCAGCGTTGCCGTAGGAACGGACTGCACGGACCAGGTCTCCCCGACCATGCCACGTGCTGCAAAGAACAGAGTTTCCGGAAAACTCCGCCGCTCCGCCAGCGCCATAAGCAAATCGTCCAACTGAGTGTCTCCTTCGGAAACTGCTCGCCCGTTTTCCTTTGCGGCCACTTCTGTTTGACCCTCTCACCACCACGGCCGCAGTGTTCGCACTCGTTTGCCGTTTCGCAAACGTCGACAAACGATTCCCACACTTAACTTATATTTTAAACTTTATAATGCATTTCCATGTGTCTTTATGTCTTAATTTGGTAACTGTGCAGCTGTGAGACTTTTTGATTTTTCATTTGGTAAAGTCTGGAATGCACAAGTTCAGTCCCATTAACACGGAAAACACAAGAACCTCAACAGTACAAGCGTGACGTTACTGAAGGTAGTGAGACTATGAAGGCCTGTAATAATTACAGCTTAGTTTGATATCCATAATTGTAAAAATGGTGACAGTGGGACTTGAAGTCATTCCCATTGTGCAGCTGCTAGCGCAGGTCGCTAACGGGCGGCCCGGTGGGGGGGGGGGGGGGGGACACTAACACGTTCTGCTTGTACAGCAAGCTGGGGCAGGTGGGACATTAGCCATCTCATCTCATCCCTTGGCATTTCAGATTGGCGCAGGTAGGTGAACTGGTAAAACACTGGTACTTTTAGAGAAGCTATTAGGACCTTCATTGGCTGTTATGTATCTTAATTTGTGGAAGAAATGCTAATGTCAACCAGATCAGGACTGTTTTCTTCTTTTTTTATCATTTAAATATCTGTACTTTTGTTCTTAAATAATACGGCACCTTCTTCATACCCATTCTCCAACACTAACTGTCCATTGTTGCTTTTGAGCGGTGGTTGTTGTATCCTACCCTAAGGAGATAGTATCGCTGAAGACAACTTGGGGGGGGGGTACTTGTGTTCCTGGGTCACCTTCCCCAGCAGTGGTGCTGAATTCTGCATAAACTGTAAGGTGTGCAGAAGTGTGAGCTAAACTATGGTGAATAATACGATTTCTTTTTTCCCGTATTTCAGTAATTTAGATTCTCCTCTCCTTGATTTTATGCAACTGCTGGAACGAAGAGTGTAGGATACTTTACCCATGGTTTGAAACTTGTAATTGAATAAGTTTGATATGCGTGATGTTTAAACTGTTCCCATTATTTGTTCTGTGAAGCTACATTTATGACATTCCTACAGATTTCTTTTGCACTTATTTTTCCTCTGGTAACATAGAATTGAATGTTTCCGTTTGTTCTCGGATGTAAAAACGCTTTAATTTAATTTTATACATGTCTGTATATTTTCCTGTGTACATACTTGTGTGAGAGGCGACTTTTACGAGCGCGTTCCGTGCCAGCAGAGGCTCAGGTGAAGCCGAACTCCATGCACTGGTGCGTGTTTAACGCCGAGTCCGCAGCGGAGGCCCACGGGCCTCGTGTAACACTCGTCTCCCCCCGGCGGGCCGGCACACATGCGTCATCGAGGTTTTTATTAATTTTTTTGTCTTTTTTAACTGGAAGAGTCCAAGCATCCACACTTAACAGCAGAGATGATCGATTGGCAGGTCTGGGGGGGGGGTGGTCTCACTGTAGTCATGACACTGAGGGATGCCAGGTTGTGAAGATGTGAATTTAGCTAGCAGACTCCCCCCCCCCAACCTATCCTGATTCTGTTCCCTCTGACTGAAGATGGCGGATGCTGCAGCTCCTTGCTTTTCTGTGTAGTTAGCCTCCTTGGGGCTAGGTGGCGCTGCAGGACCATGCTCTCGGTGACTGTCAGCCTGGCTTGGTTTTGCTCCCGCAGCGGGCGCCCCCCACCCGCCACTCCACACCTGGGATTAAGCTGGCGGGGAGGCCAGGTGTTACACACGCTTCTGGCTCCAACGAATCTGCAACACTGTTCCGTTGCACTACTCTGCCTTAGCCGGACTTTTTTTTTTTTTTCCTCAAGCACTGATAAAGAAGATAGGACACATGATCTGAGGACAGCTCTCAGAAAAGAAGTTAATTGTGTGTATTGAAGAATGTATGCAAAGAATAATAATAATGGCCTTGATCAGATCGATTCCTTCACCTGCACTGCAAACACAACCTATCTTGGCCACAGCGAGACATTTATGTAGCAACAGTAGATGCAAACTAAGAAACAAGACTATTAAGGCAGATGTTTCTGTCATGAAGGGATTTTCACTTAATTAACAGCTGGGTGTAAGTCATTGATGTGATCTGGGCCGAACTCGTATCTTACTCAGTCTGGTCAGCGTGTGATGCTACATAGCTAGTGTTAATTCTAGATTTCGGATAGGAAACCAGCGCATGGTTTCATTGTGAGGGTTCTTACTGATAAATATAAATATATAAATGCCTGTAATATAATCTTTGTAAACAGAAGAAAAAAAGCTTGAAAATTCATCTTTAATTGTTAACATATCAAATTGTTTTTAATGATAAAGTCATGTTATCTTTATTAGAAATGTGAAAAATGAAAACATTTCATTAAATTGATTTGGAAAATCTGTTTTAATGCTTGTTTTGTTCCCACGCTCCACATAATTGCTCACTTTCTTTTCTTTTCTGGTTTCTTCTTTTGGGTATTTTATTCTAAATTGGCATTCATCAACTGTTTAACATTTTGGAATAATTATTATTATTTTTGTTGGGTTTTTTTTTGAGCTGATGGTCTAAGTGCCGAAAAAAATCACCTTGTTTTCACTCAACTCACTTGTGAGGGAATTCTTTTCAGATGTCATTGCTCGACAGACCTGACAGACGACTTTGGGGTGACACGTTGCGAAGTTGCCCCGGCGTGGGCTGGTGACTTGGGGGGGGGGCAGCTGCAGTAACCTGACCCCCCTTCCATCTGTCGCTCCTGCTGTGGTCTGCTGTATCGGGCGAGGCAGCGAATAATGGCCCCGTCCTGGCTTTACAGGTGCAAAGTCTGTCTTCGCGGGCGCGATGATTGTTTAAGGCCAGAAAACAAGTGATCCGGCGCCTCGCCGCACCTGCAAAGCCCGTAAGACCAGCCATCCGATTTGGCGCCGTCGATAGAAACGATTACAAGACAAGTATCCTCATCGGTAAATTTCCATTCGTCAGTTTAAATAAAAGATTTTCTGTACTAGCGCAGTTAAAATAGTGAGAGTGTGAATTTATCAGATTACATCCACCGAAATGCAGATAAGATCGGCAGATTCAGTAGTTGCGGCCCCCCCTAAGCGCTTTGCCGTTTCTCCTTCTAGCTCCCTGATCTCACCTGCAGCGCCTCCTCTCCGGGCAGGGAGACGTTAGACCATCGCCCTCGCAGAGGTGTCCGCACCCTCCGGGGGGGTCTGTTCTTCCAAAGACCTGAAGCATCAGGTTGCGTCATGTTCCTCCGTTAATCGGAAATCTTAATCCAAGGCGCGGTAGTCCTTGACACAAACAAAATGCTCCACGTTTTATCTGATAAAAGGAATCTTTAAGAAAACAGAAGCATGGTTTTTATCTTCTTCCACTCAAAAGTGGGTTTTTAAAATGTGAGAATTGAGTTCCAGCCAGACTGATGATATCGTTCTGGGGTGACTTTCCCGAAACCGCATTAACGCCACGTCCTTCATATGTTCCGTCTTTTAACATAGAACGTATCATTAATGCGGCTTCGGGAAACCCTTTGGTTTTGGCTAAAGAAAGTTAACGTTCAGCACCTCCAGTGTTGCCCTGCTTGTTTGGATTGATAAGATAAACCTTTAAAATAAAAACTATATGTAGTCTCAGTTAAGAAGTGAGCCTCTTGTAATAAGCCTTATTCACAGATCGTACACACCAACATAAGTAAAATTAAAGTAAATATTAAGACGTAAGTGTTATAAAATAGAAAAACGATAAAATAGAATCTAAAATCGCTAAAGTGCCATGTAACTACTACGTTCATTAAAATAATAACGGATTAAATGCAAATTCTAAGTGGAGGATGCACAGGTGTGTCTTCAGAAGGTAGCGGAGGCATAAATGGCGCCTTCATCCAGTGTATAAGAAACTCATCTATCATTTTAACGAGTATTTGAAGTCAAACTTTCAAGAATCTGTTTTGTGGCATTTTTTTTTTGTTAGCCTAAAGTTCTCTAAACAGGTTTGTACAGACGTATGCACCGGTGTGGATGCAGTTAAATTTAATTAAAATACCAAAAAGACAAAAATAACTGCTGAGCATATTCACGTTTTGGTAACTGAAAACAGACACGTCACACGTATAACAGAATTAACAACCATTTTTTGACAGTTGTTTTTCTCAAATGCCACATCTTCACGTGAGTTGTAAGGTTATTGAAATGTACGACATATGCATAAATGAGCTACTTAAATGCCTCCACAATAAATTGCGTTAGGTTTTAAGCAGTGGTTTAACTATTTATGTACAGGGCCGTTCTATAAATGTTAAATAATTTAACTTTTTAAAGAGACCATTATGATACGATTGACTGAGGACCACAATACTCTCATCAATAGTATCTTTCAGTGGCTAAATTCAATGCGATCAATTCAAATAGATACCAAGATATACTAAAGGTGCTAGAACTAGTTGGGGGGGGGGACGCGATTTAAGCGCGTTAGTCTATGCCACCCCTTTTAAATCGTGCCAATACGGTCGTAAAGCAAATCGAGGTCACCTCAGTACAATCCCGTGGCGCGGCACATTGTTGCAGGATTGAATCAAGGGCAGAGTGTGCCGTTAATAATCGAAAATCGAAGTCTCAAGTCACTTCAAGCAGAGACAAATGTCTGGAAAACACAGAGGTGATCACTTTGTAGAGTGATTATCGTGCATGGGTCGCCAAGGCATTTGTTTCCTTTCGAGGTAATCTGGAGTTCGCTCTACCTTGTTAAACTGCAGGAAATGGGATTTCCCCCCCATATGTGAAATAGAATTGACTTAAAGACATACATTTTTTATTTTAATTTTAGTTGATTTTCCTACACATGCATTGCACACATTAAACTTAGTTACGAGTGAATTCGTTTGTTATTGAACTGGCAAGCTGTACCGTGAGAAACGATATGGTCTTTTCTTGAAGTTGGCCGTTTCTTAAGCAAGTAGCCTACATATAGTGATACTTTTAAAATCATTCTATAATTAGGATTTTATTACCATTTTAGTCCGTTTTCATTAATTAAAGATATTAGGCCAACGTATAAACGTTAAATTAGGCTGTTTTGTCGGTTTATTTATATAGGCTACTAACGTGTTGCCACTAATGCAACATCTCAATATTTTAATGAGAATGTTTTATGTCAGCGGATTTAATATTTAATTGATGGCCAATTCCCTCATGTTCCCTTTGAACTGTTTTATTTCGTAAATAATTCATTTCTTCGGATTCACGTATTACGCTGATTTCAGTTTGGTTTAATATACCAATGTTCTGCATTTACGTTTATAATGAGTTTGTCTCGTGGTTTGTCAGGTTGTGAGAAATCAGTCTGTCTGACAAGGTTTCCTTTCAAATCCAGCCCAAAGAGGGATAAAGTTATGCTGCATGCATAATT